CCCCCCCCCCCAGATGCCTTTCTGGGCGGAGGTCCCATTGGCCTGGTCTGGGAATCTATGCAGAGATTCTGCGGTGAAGCCCTGACTGGTTTCCTTCCGGCTGGTGTTCCTCCAGAGAGGGTGGTTGAAACCAACCGGAGTGGGAGGAGGAGACGGCTAAGGAGCCCTGAGGGAGGCCAGCCACCTGGAGGTTTCTCCCACTGCCCAGATGTGCGCAAACGGTCTGTGTGTGTGTGTGTGTGCGCGTGCGCCCAGGCAGGGTGTTTTCCATTCGGGTTATATTTAGCCCTTGTGAAATAATTGAATCATTTCCCACCCACGGAAGTGTCAGCCAGAGCAACAGCTGCGGCTCTCTGCTCCTGGGATTGTTCAGTTTAAATATTTGCGCCCCACCCTCCGGCTAGAGGACCGGCTCGAGGTTGGCCGGCCGGCCATCCCTTAAAACCGCCCAGATCCCCACGGAAACACACTTTCCGCTCAAAACACCAGAAAAAAGCATTAAGGAGCTGAAGAATGCAAAAAGAACAACAATGGGATTTTTTCCCCAAAAAAACAGCCATTCAGCAGAAAAGGCTTTTAAAAAATAATACCCAGTGGTCTGACTACAGGGCAAAAGGGGGGGTGGGGTGGATAATAACGCAAGCAGGAGAAAGAGACTTGCGGATGCGTAGCCACAGCCAGACTCTGCCCCTCCACTAGCAGCTGCAGTGGGTGAGCCAGGGAGTGCATGCCAAACAGAGACCGGTGCCTCTCTCTGACCCTTGGCAGGGGAGGCGGGCCTCCCCAAGCCTGCAGCATCTGCTCCTTCCGGGAACCAGCCCTGCTCTAGGTGGACGCCTGGCCTGAAGGCACCGTCGTGCTTTCCTCCCTGGCCCCGCCAGGATCTGGCTTTGGGCTTCCTGCTGGGATGCCAGAAAGGAGGGCTGCTGAGCCCCGGGCGCCTGAGCACCAACAGATCGGCTCTCTTGGCAGCTGGAGCGCTCTGGGGAGGCAGGCGGGGGCCACCCAGGCACTCCTCCAAGGGGAGGGAGGGAGGAAGTCAGGCCTGTCCAGGGAACGGCTGGGGGCTACAGCGGAAGAGCTGGCCGCACGCACCCACTCCCCCGCAGCACACATCTGCAAGGCTTCAGTCGCGGGTTGGGGGAGCCACATGCCCACAGCTCACTTCCTCTGCGAACGCAAAGGAAACAGCCCAGGGCTCCCCTTGGAGTGGACTCTCCCAGGGGGAGTTGCAGTCCCAGAGCCCAGCGCCTGGCCTCTTGGGGGGGGGGTCCTGCTGCTACGGAGGACAGGAGGTTGGGGGACGAGTCGTGCTGTTTGGACTGTTCCGGTTGCTCTGCACACCAACTGGATATTTTGATGGCAACTGCAGGGCAAGATCTCACACCTCTGCTTTTAATGTTTTGACGCTGTGTGTGTGTGTGGGGGGGACTCCCTGGAGTCAGGCAGTAGTGGGGGGGATGGGGAATTCTGATACCAAACAAATTAACTTCACAGTCAAGAGCAGAAAATAGCATCGTCCCTATGTTTTTGCATCCTTTTTTATATGTGGTTTTCAGAATACACAGTGCACAGATGACCATATGGAAACGTCAACAATACATGCACTTTTATTTTTTGCTTTTATTCTTGCCATTTGTTGTTGTCAAGTCTGATATTATATATATTAAAAAGCCCAAAGTATTGGCACTTTCCGGCTCTCCCATTGGCTGTGCTGTGTGTTCCACCAGCTATTGGTCCATCAACCGCCACTCAAGAGTACTCCCTGGGTCCACTCCTCTCTCCTGCCCACTGCTGGCTTGGCCACTTCCCTGACAGTATAAACTGCTAAAACAGCTGTCTCTCCTGACAGAGATGCTTCTCCTGCTTGGCTCCTCCAGCTGGCTACTGCAGTGAGCTACCAGCCCTCAAACCATTCTCTTATCTTCCTACTGTGGGGCTAACTTTTCCCTCAGTGGCTGTTCTTAGGCAACCAAGCTTGGTTTTGTCAGTAAAAAGGCAAAGATAGGAGGCCCTTTCCAGGCCTACTTTGGCCTTTGTGGGGCCATTGGGGCCAGTCCTAACTAGGGTTGCCAGCTCCAGGCTGGGAAATTCCTGGAGATTTTGTGGTGGAGTCTACGGAAGCCAGAGTTTGGGGAGGGGAGAGGCCTCAGCTGAATAGAATGGCAGTTATATTCTCTGTTGTCTGGTGCCCAGTTGTGATACCAGGCAATACCACAGCCAGTGTGGTCGTGTAGCAGTTAGCACTTCAGAGCAGCGTCTGCCAGACCCAGGTTCTTGCTGTGGAAGCTGAGTGGGTAATTTTGGACCAGTCACAGACTTACAGCCTAACCTACCTCACAGGGTTGTTGTGCAGATCAGAAAGGGGAGAATAATGTAAGCTGCTTTGGTCCCCACTGCAGAGAAAGACTACTTTTCCTCCTGGAGAACTACTGTTGCCAATCTCCAGGTGAGGGCTGGAGATCACTCAGAATTACAACTGCTCTCCAGATGGCAGAGATCAGTTCCCCTGGGGAAAATGGTAGACTCTGTGTCATTATACCCTGCTGAGGTGGCCACCCAACAGCCAGTGTGATGTGGCGGTTAGCACTTCAGAGCAGGGTCTGCCAGACCCAGGTTCTTGCTATGGAAGCTGAGTGGGTAATTTTGGACCAGTCAGAGACTTTCAGCCTAACCTACCTCACAGGGTTGTTGATTGTGCAGATCAAAAGGGAGAGGAGAATGATGTGAGCTGCTTTGGTCCCCACTGCGGAGAAAGACGGTACTCTTCCTAAGTAGAGGCTGCAGGGAGGGGGAAGGAGATGGAAAGCTGAAGTCAGAGGGGCAAATAAAGGTAGGTCGATGATTGGTTGGTAAGGAAATAGGGTTGCAACCTCCATGTTGGGATATTCCTGGAGATTTGAAGGGTGGAGCCTGGAGAAGATGGGGTTTGTGGAGGGGCGGGACAGGTACAATGCCATAGACTCAACCCTCCAAACCAGCCATTTCCTCTTGGGGAAACATTGTTGCCAATCTGCAAGTGAGGGCTGGAGATCACTGAGAACTATGACTGCTCTTCAGGTGGCAGATCAGTTCCCCTGGAAAAAATGGTGGACACTGTGTCATTAAACCCAGCAAATTGACACTGAGTGCCAAAGGCCAGGCCACCCACCCAGAGCCTCTTTCTAGAGCTTGTATTTATTTCCACAGCAGGCCTTATTCCTAGTTATATGTAATTTTACATTTTATTAAACAATTACACAGTTATGGTACAGGTGGGTAGCTGTGCTGGTTTGAAGCAACAGAATAAAGTTTGAATCCAGTGCATGCACACGAAAGCTTATACTCTGAATGAAGCTTTGTGAGTCTTAAAGGTGTGCATGCAGACAAATGAGACTTTGTTGGTCTTAAAAGACCAGAATGAAACTCTGTTGGTCTTAAAAGTGCCACTGGACTCAAACACTGTACAGTTATAGTACAGAGATCCAGGATGGTATAGTGGTTGTTTAGACTCTGGGAGACCCAGGTTTGCATCCGCAATCTGCCTTGCAGGCTTGCTGGGAGAACTTGGGCCAATCACACTGGGGTAAAACTACCATACAAGGATTTGACTCATTCCAGCTAAGGGAACATTATGTAGGCCTCCTTCTCTTGGTGACCTCCCACAGTTTTGATTTTTTTTTCCCACTAGGAAAATGCAATTCTGAGATGGGGGGGGGGGGTCCCCACATCCCTTCCTGGTACAGCTGCCTCTGGGGCAGTGCCCTCGCGTTTCCGTGGGCGGGCAAAAACCAAACTGCCCACTGCCCCCTCAGGCACCCGAAGGAGGGCGAGGGCAGCATCTCCCAGTGGCAAAGCCAGCCGATTAACCTGCCTCCCCACGACAAGCTGCCGCCGGGCCCTTGGGAGGAGGCCTTGGCTCCAACTGATCCCAGAATCCACACCGGGGTGAGAGAGAGAGGCCTTAGGCTGTCGGCGGAATCTGCTGCGGACCAGTCTTGTTTGGGGAGGCTCTGACCTGGCCAGCCCACCAGATTGCGGAAGCCGAGCAGGGCCGGCCCTGGCAAGTCCTTGGATGGGAGACCTGCAGGGAATACCAGGGCTGGGAGGCCAGAGGCAGGCAATACCAAGCCACTTCTCCCGACCTCCCCCGTGCCCCAGGAGTTGCCAGGGCTTCCAGGTGCGCGGGCACATGCACATATGACAAACAATGCTCCCTCTAAGCCCTGAAGTCCTGTGAGCAAAAATTCCACTTTGTGAGCTGCTGGCATTCAAGTTGTGAGGGAGCGATTTGGCTACATACTGCATGAATCAGTTTGCTCTGGAGCCCCCTCCTTCCTGAGTGGAGACAAAAAATGTGTGAGCCGGAGGCTAAGAAACTGAGCCGGCTCGCACTCGTTCAGCTTCAGCGGGAACACTGATAAAAAATGCCCCAAAGTCTTCCGGGGGGTGG